AATATCTTTATAGCTGCATGCTATTCTTGTTACTATTGATTGTCCTACTAACCTTCATAATGCAGACTAGGTTTGTGTGTTTTCAAATATATATATTTTATTAATGGATCATGCATAATAGTGGAAATAACTTATTCTGAAGCTAAAATAATTTTATTTTATTTATTTATGTTTTTTGTGGAACTGGGGATTGAACTCAGGCCCTTGCACTTTCCAGGGAAGCACTTATTCCACTGAGCCATCTCTCCGGCTCTGAAGCTAAAATAAGTTTAAATGCGTTCTGAAGAACTTTAAGAAAAATGTGATTGTTGTTATGTAATTTTCTTCACGCTTCTTCATGGGGCAGCCTTCCATCACTAGTAGTATCTACAATAAACAATAATTCAAATTTGCTTTCCATGGGTTTATTTGTTTATTATACTTATACTAATATTTAGCATTTTTAAAAATGTCTAAGTTTCATAAAGAATGAAGTTGCTACTGTGATGTTTATACTTAACAAACTCTGGGGTAATGCTGAAATAGAAGGCGCCAGGGATGTCTCTTTTGCCTTAAATCAGTGACGTTTTTAGATTCTGTGTATAATGTACACTCAAGTCAGCTGGACTTCTGCTTGATTGCTTTTTTTGGTCACTTTGAGCTTCTATCTTAGTTTATTCTTAGCCAAATCTTCATTGGGCTAGGTAATTCATTTGGGCAAATGAATTTAGGTGTTTTTTTTTTTAGCATTCTTATTTATTTTTAGATTTATTTATTTATTTATTTATTTATTTATTTATTTATTTTTGTGGTACTGGGGATTGAACTCAGGACCCTGTGCTTGCCAGGCAAGCATTTTTAAAATAAATGAATAGATTTATTTATTTATTTGACACATGGTCTCCCTACGCAGCTTCGACTCACGGGGACGCTCCTGTCTTCAGCTGCCCCAGTGCTGGACTGATGGGCACGCACCAACTAGCCCGTTTTCAGGGCCGGCATGGCGTGCGGTACCAGGGTGGGACACGGCACGAACGTGGGTGTGATGTGTATTACTGTCATCGTTGCTAGCACCAGCTTTCCTCCTACAGTCTCAGGCATTCTACTGCTATCTATTTATAAATTGATGACAGTCTGCGAGGAAGACCGTCGGTTTTCGCGGTATCGATAAACTAAGCACTCCTAGTCACAGTTACAAAGCATGGAGATGTTTTCCAAAACACTTCATTTCAATAGATAATCATAAACCTTTCTTGATAGAGTTTGAAATACCTAAGGGATGTTCTCCATAGGAGGGCTAGACTAAAATAATTGATTTCCAATCATGAAGTGAATCAGTGTAATGCTGTCTATGAAGCAGGCGAATTATAGACAATGGACAATCTACACAGCAGTGTTTTAAAAAAGGTAAGGCTAGGGGGCTGGGGAGATAGCTTAGTAGAATGAGCGCTTGCCTAGTAAGTGCAGAGTCCTGGGTTCAATCCTTGGTTCTGCAAAAAAAAAAAAAGAACACACTAGGGCCAGCCAGATAGCTCAGCAGACTAAAGCGCCTGCTTAGGCAGAGTGCAGTGGCTGTGGTTCCATCCCTGGCATGCTGTGTTGGCCCTGCCCCTGGGGCACGCTGAGATGGTGATTGAGACTGGGCCTGGTGGCATGTGCCTATAAATCCCAGCACTTGGGAAGCTGAAAAACAGCAGGATCACTACGAGTCCAATCTAGATAGTGAGACCCTGTAGACACTGTATCCCTGGTACAAAAAAAAAAAAAAATCCAAAACCACACTGAGTTGCATCACAGTTTGGTGAAGTTTGTCCATCTTACGTGAGTCTGATCAAAGAAAGAAACTCTTGCGTTGGTTCAGAGTAACATGAGGCCAAAGTGAACTTTGGAAATTGGTGCCCTTATGAAATACAAAATATTACAGCCTTTTCATAAAATATAGATGTGTATTTAATGTTTGCTAACATGAGTAGAGGATGTGAAATAAACTGTGTATAGTAGCCTCCAGCGGTCAGTTTGTATGATTTGAGAACATCACTATGTAGAAGAGAGTCCATTTAATTCAATGTGATTTTTCTCCTGCCCTCTATCAAGTCAAATGATAGAGCAACAAGTAGTGTTCCGGAACACATTAGCGTTCCTTGCCTCACCTTATCTATAACCACCGATGGGTACACTCAGAATCCCTCTGCGAATCTCTTCTGCTCCTTTTCATCATCAGCAGAGTGGCTATTTCAGCCCCAGCCCTCTCCCCTTCTTATCAAGTGACCACAACTTCTGTCTGATTGCAAAGTGGAGGATGCAGTAGCCTCCACCCCCCTAGACCTTTCGCTCCTTGAGCTCCACATTCGTGCCTCCCGCCTTTCCCTGGCATCCTTTTTCTTTGTTTTCCTAACGAATACAATGTTTAGGACATTTGCATGGAGTCTCTCCTACTGAGCGTAGGAGCAGAATTTTGTCAGCATCTGCATCTTGTTTTAATATCCTTTCTTGAACTTTTACTCTCCATCTTGGGGATTCTTTACCGAACTCATGCATTAATTTAAAAAAATTAATGGTTTAAAATTTAAAATGCATGAACATCCCCTGAAGCGTAATTTTTCCTGCAGCCTCACTCCCCCACCACCCCCGCTTTGTTCATTAACCTTCCTTACAGATGTGTGGGCTGTTTCAGATCTTCACTCTCCACTCACTCTTAACCTACTGGGCTTCTGTTCTACCACCTACAACCCCTGGATCAGCTGTCATCCAAAGACCTAGTAATTACAGACAACGCTGCTTCTTCCAATTTGTCCTAGTTCTCTGTAATTTCTCCTCTTGGTCCTTGTGCTTCATGGTGCTTCCCCCTCTCATCCTCATCCCATAAAAAACTAAATCCACTACTTATTACCTGTCATTACATTGTCCACTGTTGGTCTTTTATTTCTCATGGAAACATCATCTATTTACTCACGCAGGATGAAGGTGTTACCATTTCCCGATCCTCTTTCGTGAGTGGCGGTCTCCACACACATGCACACATGTGCACAAATTCATAGAAGCACAGTGCCTCTTGTAGCTGACCTAACTTTCTTGTCCCACTGCCATCATCTTGATTTAGGCTTTTACCATACTTGCTTTGCTTTATTTCTGTGAATTACATATGAACTACTTTTCCTGTAGTCAATTTTGTCATGCAATAATTTCACAAAAGAAACCATAATTCATGAAAACAAGAATAGCCGAACACCAGCTAAAACCTCTGTGGCTGTCAGGTTCTGAACTATTTGACTCCTTTGTCTTTTAGCACATTTTGCTACTTACACCAAGCAGCTTTTTTTTTTTTAACTGAGCCATGCTTTTTCCGTTTTTTATATTTTGTTAGTGTTTCCCTCTTAGCCTGTTACTTTCATGCCCCTACTCTTGGCCAGAGTAGCACCTCATGGCTGGTGCCTGTTATATTTTATCCTAATGGCCCCAAATGCCAGGCTCTACTGCTCCACAGATGGTGAACTTCATATACACTACAGTTCCCAAGACATATTTACTTTGTCCATGAATGAATCTATAAGAGTCCCAAGTTTCAAGGCTAAGAAAGTAGGCTCAGAATAATATAGAAATATGATCACTGGGAAAAGAAAATTATATGAAGATGAATAAGACTAAACACCAACAAAATAACTGCTCAAAAGTAGCAAAAAGAATTATATGTTACATTAATGAGTAAAACAAAACACTTCTAAGATTTTATTTGAGGCCCACTGTTGTGCCCGGATGATCCACTATGATACCAAAAGCAACCCTCAGGGACCTCCTAGAGCATAAATCCTGAAAGGCCAACTGCAAACTGTCAGGAGATTCTCACATGGTGGCAGGAGATGTTGAGCGCGACTAGACAAATGTCTAGATCCAGAGACGTAGAGACCAATTCAGAGACAGAGAGGAGGAAGGGGAGGGGGAGAGAGAGAGAGGAGAGAGAGAAAGCCACAAGGCCCAGAGCAGACATCGCCACATGAAAGATTCCTGAAGACAGAACAGTACAACAAACACAAAAACGCCTTGCCTAGGTAAGCTAATGACAACCAGAAGCGTGTGGATCCACCTTTCTGTTTTAATTACTTTCCACTCTGTGCTGTGCTTTAAGCCACATTTAAGTCTGTCTAATGCTTTCTGGGGTTGCCTCTGGTGATTCATTATTTAGAAATCAGTTTCATTTGAGCAAACCTCTGCAGAAGCTTTCTTAAGTTATCTGGCAAACAGCTGCCAATATCTAGACATTCCTCAGCTGAGATATCTCCCCAACCCTGTCCACTGTAGTATAACATATTTTCAAACTGAGTTGAAAAGTTTTAAAATATAAAATATTCCTTTCATCTGAGTAGCTAAAACTCAGTTCTTATATAAATATAAGCTTAATTTTTTTTTTTGGGTGGGGGAGGTATCAGGAATTGAACTTATGACCTTACTTACACTTATGGGGCAGGCACTGTACCACTGAGCTAAATCCCCAGCTCTAAGCTGATGTTTTAAGATTTACGTATTTATTTTGCAGTACTAGAGATTGAACTCAGAACCTTGTGCATGTCACTCAGGTACTTACACCATTGAGCTATATCCCTGGCCCTCTCTAAGCTGATGTTTTAAGTGTAAGTTTCTATTACAAATGTAACCCTCACTCCACTCTCTCCAATGCATTTCTAGGAGTGCACTTTTTTTTTTTTTTTTTTTTTTTTTGGTGGAACTGGGGATTGAACTCCGGCCCTTGTGCTTGCCAGGCAAGCACTTATTCTACTGAGCCATCTCCCTGACCCCCTCTCTGATGCATTTCTAGGAAAACAAATGCTTCTTATGCAGTATGACAGTGTACACAAGTTATCTCTGCCACTCACTTTGAGCACATATAATTTTACTCCTCCTTTCTGTGTTAGGGCACAGCGAGGTAGAAGAGCCCCAGTCATTGATGACATCGCATCACCAACTCTTGCCCCAAGCTTCATCAGCTTCCGCCAGGTGCTCCCCCTTTTGCCCTCCCTCATACTCACATATCACTGGCGATGGAGGAGTTCCGGGACATGGATTTTGGAGAGAGGTCATAGTCGCTGTCTGACCGATACAGGAAGGACTCCCGGCGTTGACTGTGGACAAAATTTGCTTGAAGAATTAGCCCAGATCCTGGGCTGGTCATGGGGTCCAAGGGACTCCGTCCCGCAGATGTGCCATTGTCCACATCGAAACTGTAAATGCAAGAAAAGCAATAATGTTACTGTAAATACTTGTAGTTTGATAGTATAGCACAGGGGGTAACTTTAGCTTAGAGTTGACTATGGAAAAACATAGCCGATTTTTGCTGCTAAAGAATGAAGATACTCAATTAAGATTCAGGACATATGAGAACTGGTACTGCAACGTCACGTAACTCAGTAGTGTCCCAAATTTTCTGATCAAGGAGATTATGGGGCCAAAGAGGAAAGCGATCAATGATGTCGAGTGTGCCTAAGGAGAGTCACATGGAGAGAAAACATTCTCTCAGGCTTTCACAGAGAGCACATTGGCCAAGCAATGGCCGTGACTCATCCACATGGCTGACACTGACAAAGGTTCTACAATCTGAGGTACAGGATCTCAGGATAAATCCTGAGGGGATTTCACTGACCTTATCAGACCCAAAAGCTGCAACTCTTGTTGCATAGGTCCTGCTTTACCTTGGTCTTAACCATCCAGCAGAAAAGTATAAAAACGAAGTATAAGAAGTAAAGCCATGGTGCTATGTTGAGCTGTAGGGGACTCAGATCAACAATTTCTGACATTGCCAGTCAAGCGGAAGACCCAATACTATTATGGGCTACTGGACTCTTTTAGAATATTTTGCTGAGTTGACACACCTATAATATTCAAATGATGGAACTAAACAAAAAAGGGGATACAGATGAATGTCCATTTTGTATCTATGTATTCAAAATGGTTAGGATAGATATATAGTTACATTCTCTTAATGAATAGAGGGATTTGTTCTAATAGTGTTTGTAAATAGGATATCATGTCTGCATCTTGTATAGCAAATAACCACTAGGAAGAGAGTGCGCAATTATTGAAACTGTCCTACCAATTTGATTTGAAACTGTCTCATTGCTATTTGTTTCTCAATAAAATTATGGAAAAAATTAAATTAAAAAAAATGAAGATACTGAAATAAATAAAAATACCAAGCACATCAGCTTCAGGTTCTTGTTTCCCCAAGGTTTTGACAAGACACAAACTCAATTTAACTTTAGTTAAAAAGGAGCATTGTGCAAAAACAGCTCTTCTAAGTAGCAAGTTTCTTCTCAGAAAGGAAGAAATCTGTAGTAGTTTGCTAAATAGGTGAGTTCTGATCAACAGATGCCCCACATGTACACCATGTCTTGGTCAGGGCCTGTGACTCCCCCACTCCACCTACTCATACACTCATTTCTGTTATTCCTAAATCCCTCATTAGCAGTATTTTATATTCAGGAGTCTATCAACTCTCACCTACATCATCAAAAGAGCTATCTAATTAGTCTGGAAATAGTTTCCCAGACTGTAACAAGTATGAATTTTTAAAAATGCAAATCTGTATTATTCCATCTTCCATTGAAAACCCATTGTTGACCCTCTTTAGCCTCGGAGTGAAGTCTCCATCTCTCCACAGAATGGAAGGGTGACTAAACATGGACCGTCTGCTCTTATTCACAGCGGTTTGCCTTCCCAAGGTCCCCGTCAGGTGTTCCAACCCCCATTCACTCTGAATTGCAGCTTCCTTCTCCTAAGCTCTCTGCGCCTAACCTCCTGCTCCTCTGCTTGGCCACTTCCTGCCTAACGGTTCTGCATCCGTGAGGACTTTGCCTGCCTCTGAAAAGCTTCTCTGCTGCCTCCAAGCTGCAGGAAAGGCTCTTTCTTTTGGATTCCCGGTGACGCAACTGGCAATGCATCCCAGCTTCCCCTCCATGTCCGCAGCCCTGGCCTGTGAGCTCTCCGCAAGCACAGACTCAATCCTGCATTCTTAGTGTTCCACACAGCCTTTCCCAAACTCTGCTAAAGCCGGGACTGACGTCCAGCAGCAGAGGGCGATACGCGAAAGCTCCTGGGCTCCATCCCCAGCACCACAAAAACAGAAAATGAAAACAAAAGCAGAAAACTATCTCTAGCTAAAGGATTTGACACTGATTAGATGAGTGACTGGTACTAGGTTTGATGACACAGACTTTAGTGTTAGAAGAAAAAAGAAGAAAGAACCACATATGCAGATGTGAAGGTTGCTGTCCTTAGAGTCCAGATCCATTCTCCATGAAGAGTGAGTTCAGTGAAACCTTAGTCAGTATTAAAGTCAACTGTCATTTGTCCTTAGGAGAACCGACTCCTAGTTGAACGCTGTCCAGGAGGTATGTGGTTTAAAAAGAAGGTGAACAAATAAAGGAAAATATTTAGTTGTCGTCACCATTTTTCCCATTGGAATTTTTATCCAAACTATTAACCAGATATTTTGGAAAACTTTCATTTTATCTATTGAAGTTATTAACAAATACTTTTGCAATTCCAGGATTGGAAGCGAAAGCGGGACAATAAAGTAGGGGTTTCAAGGATGGACCTATGACCAAGGAACTTGGTCCTCAAAGCAGTCCATGAAATTGAAAGCAAAGAGAAAACTTCCAGTATAGCTTAACAAGTCCACAATATGTTTTCCAGTTTAAAATGTCTTAAAAATGTACCACCTTCCAAATGCACTCACCAGTTGTGTAAGGACAGTGTGAAATTATCCAGGTGAACAGATTCATTTCATAGACAAGGTTACCAGGTCCGAGAAAAGTTAATGGACCAAAGTCCTTGGGCTAACGGGCTCAGTCCTCTCTTGTTCCTCCAGCCCTTCCTACTCAAGAGTATAATAATACAATCAAAAGTACACATCAGTAACTGTGGCACTAAACACAGGGGCTGATTCACCTGGATACAACAGGTCCACATTCGTAGGTACTCTGGCTAGCTCACGAAAAGCCAGAGAGAAAAAGAATTTGAACCATCAAATAATTTAAATAACTTTCTAATCATCAAATTTCAGGCAAGCTCCTTCTGCTTTTTTTCTTTTTTCTTTCTTTCTTTCTTTTTTTTTTTTTTTGGTTTGTTTGCAGAACCGGGGATTGAACTCAGACCCTTGCGCTTGCCAAGGGAAGCGCCTATTCTACTGAGCCATCTCCCTGGCCCCAATATTCTTATTTTGATAAGCACTACTGAGCACCTACTATGAACAGACTGACATAAAACAAGTGGGACACAGGCTGGGGAGATGGCTCAGCGCTCTAAGCACCTGCCTGGCAAGAGCAAGGACCTGGGTTGGATCCACAGTACCGTCTGCCATGCTGGCCCTGGAACTCTGGATGCACCAAGCCGGCTACTAAAATCAGGTATGGTGGCACACTCCTGTAATCCCAGCGCTGGGGAGGCTGAGACAGGACGATCACTGTGACTGAGCTGGGTAGTGAGACCCTGTACCACATCAATCAATCATTAAAATCATTTTTTAAAGTGGGGACACGTGAGAAGTTTCTATAGAAAAGATGTTTAAAAGAGGGCTTCAGAAAAAAACCTCAATGCATTCATAAGGGCTGGAGAGATAGCTCAATAGAACAAGTGCCTGCCTGGCAAGCGCAAGGTCCTGAGTTCAATCCCCGGTGCTGAGAAAAAAAGGAAAAACAAGAGGAAAAGAGGGCTGCAGAAGGCATATGGGAGTGGATTTTTCTCCTAAAGAGAGAGCCACGGCCGCTTTTCAGCACAAAGATCTAAAATGCAAACACATGTAAGAAGTGCCCATGCTGGTTTCTTAGAAATTATTAAGATGATGCCGCTCTTAAGAGAATAAAAAATAACATACCCTTGTTCTGCATGAACAGAAATAGAGGATACAAGGAATGCGAGTCTTGGTTTAAGTTTTCTGAGTTGAACTGAGTAAATTTCAAAACGGAAAGATAACCTCTAATTTGTATTTTCAAATTATAACTTTCCTGTTTAATGAAGGAAGACAATTTACAGAGACCCTCTATTGTAAGTCTCAGAATATATTGGTAAGTGTATTAAAATTTTCAACATTTTTGCCATAATGCTACCTATTACAACTAAAACATTTATTAATAGGTCAGAAAAAATGCTTGATAAGCCATCCTAACACCCTTATTTGTAGATTGTAATACAAAGCTTTGTCCACTAGATGGAGATGTTTTCTTTAAAAAATATTCATTTAAAATAAATTTGAAGGCCTAAATTAGCTCTTAAGCAGTCTAAAGAAAAGGTCTTAAAATCACCCGCCCTACAAATCTCATGATCAGGGGCTGGGGAGATGACTCAGTGGAATAAAAGTGCTTCCTGGCAAGTACAAGGCCCTGAGTTCAATCCCTGGCTTTGCAAAAAACAAAAACAAAAACAAAAAATAATCATCTATAGCAAGTGATTCACAATATGAATGAAATTACAACAATCTAAGAAATATTAATGAGTATCAGTGTCAGAAATTGTTGGCCTAAGTCCCCTACAGCTGACCCAATACTATTATGGGCTACTGGACTCTTAGAATATTTTGCTGAGTTAACACACCTATAATATTCAAATAATGGAACTAAACAAAAAAGGGGATACAGATGAATGTCCATTTTGTATCTGTGTATTCAAAGCGGTTAGGATATATAGTTACATTCTCTTAATGAATAGAGGGATTTGTTCTAATGGTGTTTGTAAATAGGATATCATGTCCGCATCTTGTACAGCAATTAACCACTAGGAAGAATATATGCAATGTGTTAATTATTGAAACTGTCCTACCAATTTGGTTTGAAGCTGTCTCACTGGTATTTGTCTCTCAATAAAATTATGGAAAAAAAGAAATATTAATGAGAATAAAAGTAGAGTGATAGGGAAGATTAAAATGGCCACAGATGCTTAGGACTTAATTTTAAAGACTCAAGAAGGCATAACTGAATTTGTAGCAAATCATTAAATACTATAATTAGTATGCTGGGGCACAATAACATAAGTATCACTGATGCTTTGGGGAATGACTGTAAATTTTGGTAAATAGAACTTTTCTCAGACTAGCTTAGGAGGTAGACCTAGGATCTGAGAACATTTCCCTGGTGGGTTTCAATTACGTTAAATAATGTTGAAAATTCTTCAAGAAAAAATGTTATTAATGAGAATCCCTACTATAAAACGTGATCAAACATTAGTACTG